ATTTTTATCGTGTTAACCCAGGACCTTGATTTTTATACACCTAATAGGGACTATTAGTATCAGTTTGCTACCTACACTCTACAAAGTTTTTTCATCAATAATCGAATAAAGGCTTAGCAAGAGTTTAAAAGAATAAAACAAGCTGGGTTTAGACGTATTCTACGATAGATCATATACACGCAATTGAACAAATAATTAAGAAACTTTATTTCTAGTTATTTCCAGTTCTAGTACCAGAGATCACTTTATGTTGCATTTATCGATTACCACAAAGCTTTCGACATAATCCTTCACTCTTCTATGTGGACAGTTTTAAGCTGACAACAAGCACACCACAAGTATATAAAGTATCTGTACAACAACTGTAGTAGTAGAGTGAAACTAGAGGTGACAGAACCGCCAATACTCATAAAAAAGGTGTAAGGCAAGGCGACCCGCTGTCACCGAGAATTTTCATAGCGGTACTAAAGATGGCCGTCAGTAAACTCAATTGGAACAGAACAGGGCTAAACATTAATGGTAAATTTATCAGTTATCTAAGGTTCGCAGATGATATTAATATACTTTACGAAAGTGCTAGGGAGTTAGAATCAATGATTCACTCACGGAAATCTGTGAGTTATCAAGTGGATTTGGAAATGAACTTAAACAAAACCAAGATTATGACTTACAGCATAAAATACCAATTATATCTTGATCAAAAATCATTGGAATGCGTGGATGCTTACATATACCTAGGCAAACAAATTTCGTTCGGTAAACAAAGTAACGAACTAGAAGAAATTCAGGCGCATGGAAAAAATTCTGGAGCTTGAAAGAAATGCTAAAAGGAACGATGTCTCTAAATTTCAAGAAATAAATTATGGACACTTGCTTACACCCTTCTATCACTTACAGTTGTCAACATGGAAGTTTACACAACGAGTGAAAAACAAAATTGGATTCTGCCCAAGGGAGTATGGAGAGAAGCATCACAATGTGAGAAAAATACAAAAAATCGAACAGAAAACTATCCGGGAAAAGACTATAGTTATAGATGCACTTAAATTCTCACAGGAGTTGAAATGGCGCTGGGCAGGCCATGTAGCCGGAATAAATGACCTGACCTGGGTCCTTCGGAAGTAGGAAGAGAGGGAGACCAATTACTCGTTGGGAAGATGATTTATTTTTAAACATTGCCCTCACTCTATGATTAACACAGGATATCAACAATGGATAACATTATCCTGTGTTGCAAGGACGTTTTAATACATAAATTTCACGTGGAAAAACACCCAGATGCGAAGCAACTACCTGTGGGTCACAAAAATAGCTGTACCGTGTGGTAATCGAACCCACGACCCCCGGCGCCGAAGCCAATACCTTGACGACTGCGCCATGGAGTCACCAAGTACTTCATCAAGTTGATATAATGACAGAAGCAGGTAAAAACTGGAAAACCATTGCCAAAGAGACAAGTGGAAAAGTCTGAAGGCCTTCACCTACACATAAGAAGTTCTTGCATGATTGCATGTTAGTTATTTAAACTATGTTTCCATCATCTTGTAATTCATCTTTAAATTGTTCTGTGTTAAATGCAGTTCATATATATTTCAATAAAGAATTACCTTTTCAAATGATACTTAACATTAAACGCATTTTTACATTAATATGGTGATTTTTTTTTCTCTAGAAATGATTGTTTAAAAATTATTTTATTTTATAAATGATTGTAAAAAAAACTTAAAACCTAATAAATGTAATTTCAATTGCGCGGAAATAAAAGGCTTTTTATTTTATTTTATTGATTTATAATAGGGACTATGGACCTTAGTACTTTGTACTTAAAACATTTCAACTTGCTTATTTTGAACTGAACGGGTGGACCACCCGGTGACCACCAGAATCGGTGGTGATTATTTACCAATTTTATTATGGCGGTATAATGGGTAGGTACGGAACCCTTGGAGTACGAGTTCAACTCGTACCTGACCGGTTTTTTTTAAATGTAGTGACAAATATTTTTGTTGTGTAAAAAAAAGTAAAGTAAAGTTACAGCCTATACATGTCCCACTGCTGGGCAAAGGCCTCCTCTATACAGAGGGTATCAGGGCATAGTCCACCACGCGGCCCCACTGCGGATTGGCGGACTTCACATATTTTTGAAATACATTTTTTTTTGTTATTATTCCGAAAATATGCAGGTTTCCTCACGATGTTTTCCTTCACCGCGGAGCACGTGATAATTCTGCACTTAAAGTTAAAAACTTCATTGGTGCCGGCACCGGGGATCGAACTCAGGTTGCTCGAGTATACATTGAATTAAGGCGAGCGCCCGGACACTGAGCTATCACGGCTCTACCGACTTTGTTGTGTACATAACTCAAAAACAAAACCTGGATATATTCACTATATGATCCAGGTTAACATTAATTAAAGAAGTTTTGCACCAGCATTGAACCAAACATATCTTAGTTATTTAAAGTTTTACGTTTAGGAGTTAAATAAATTAACGTTTCATAGAACATCGGAACAAACTTAGAGTGAACTTTACTTCCGTTAGCAATTGAGTTAGCTTGTTGCAGAGTCGGAAATAAGTTTCAGAGCGAAGACTATTTCAGTGAAACGTTTTCCGAATTGTGAAACCCATTTACTCGGCAACTGCTTATAAAAGGGCTGTGAAATTCGCGAAAACAAAGGGAGCATCTTGTGTATGTATAACATACAAATGGGCAAATGTATGGATAATATCGTCTCCATGAAAAATCATTATTACAACGTACGAAAATTACGCGCAGTAAATGTGCTAGGAAATGAATAATGTGCTAGGGCCAAGCAGGAAGCTTTCCTCCTCATTTAATTCACGAATAAGTCTTTATTCGTGAAATAACTTGTCTTATATCATGTAATACAGTCAGCATGGGGTCAACGTTAAGTAAGTGAATATGAGTGCGTATGAATAATGAGTCAGAGTTAATGAGCAAACACTTTTTATTTGGAAATCGTTAGTTCATGCATAAAGTTTTAACGTATGAAATACGTTTCATTTTGATGGAACATGGCAATCTCTATCGGTATCGTATTAATAAATGTGTGGCCGAGTGGTCCAAATCCATTTTGTATCTTAACTTATTGTTTACACATTCTCTTCTGCTCTTGCACAAAATTCTTCTGTTTTTATATAAGAGGTTATCCAAAATATGTTCTTATACCGTCAGTATGGTGGCTATGCTCCTTTTTTCAAATATTGAGACGTAGGAGTTGATTTTTTACACAAAGAGGACTATTTACACAAAAATAAAAAAAACAATAATTAAAAACTGGCGGTAGCCCGGATTAACAATGATATTGAGACGTACCTCAGTCTGTCCCGTGACCATCAACGCTCTAAAGGGTTCGAAACGTCGGGAATTAAAACCAAAAATAAACAATAATTAAAACGAAAAGTAAATATAATTTCATTGAGTAATATGTAATGAATACAAGAAATTATTAGTTTATTTTAATCTATTTTTATCTAATCCTGACTGTGTACACTGAGATTGATACAATATGAGGACATGTTTTTAATGAGATTACTTAGTCCTAAAACTGAAATTCACTTTAAAATTTAAAACTTTAAAACAATTAGGCAGTTTAAAATTTAAAACTTTAAAACAATTAGGCACTTCAAAATTTAAAACTTTAAAACAATTAGGCACTTAAAAATTTAAAACTTTAGAACAATTAGACACTTTAAAATTTAAAGTAACTTTGGTATACTTGTATTTATACCGCTTGACCTCAGATTGCATATCAACGTCTCTGGAATGTCGCCTAGATTTGTTCGTATCAATTAATTTAAGTAGTCCCTGATAAATAATTTTTCTCTTACTCATTACGCAAAAGATATCCTACATTTGAAAATTAAGCAGGCATAACTTGACTATTTAAGCATTTTATTTTATTTAAAAAACAATAAAATTTCAGCATAAAAATTTTCATAATTAGAATTGGTTATTAACCATTAGTTATTGAATAGCAAAAATCTTGACATCTATCTACGTTCGTTCTATTTTTCGTTTGTGGGACCATAGAAGCATTATTGGATAGAAGGGCTTTACGCAAACCTTGTGTAACGGGAACACTAAGCTTCATTGATTTATGGAATACATTTTGGGTTACTACTTATCCTACACAAAATAAATAATCACTGTCTTGTTAGATTAAATGAGTCCTAAAATATTTTGTTATGTAACACAGATCTAGGTAATTTCTTATTCATGTGTCCGCCCTCCACGTGATTAGATAGTCAGTCTGGACGCCGAAGTTATTAGGGGGCTTATTTTTATTATGTAGTTGATTTACTTCTCTCTCTTCCGGGCTGACTTTGACATTAAGTTCGAAACGTCACGAACTTAATCAAATAAAACGAGATATACTCTATAAATTAGTATCGTTTATCTATAGTAGGTAAATAGTAGGTTACTAAGCAAATGTAGGAGCAGCAATGGAGAAAGATGTAATGTTCTTAGTTTTTACACAATCATTATTTATTTTATATTTAAAATATAAGCCAATAATTATGTATAATCTGTCAAAAACCGTGGGTGTTCGAATTTTTTTCCTGACATTTATTAAAGTTTTTATTATTTCAGAGTTGTGAGATTCGTGTTAATTACAGAAACAATGGAAGTAATTTTCGGCGCGTCAGCTATGAATAAATTTATACTACTTTTCGGGCGAACCTTTTCGAAAATAACTAACAAAGTCAAATGTATTGCTTTGGTGAAACAATGAAATTAATTAAGAACGGAAAAATAATTTCGAAAACGTAACTTTAAACGTAAATGGACTCTCTTTAAGAAATTCGGTTAAATATTTTGGACGAACAATGATTGTTAATGCAGAATTTATTATTTATTCATAATAATATTAATTCTCGTTACTATCCATGTTTCTCAACAATAAACTAAAGACCGAAAAGATTTTAAAAACAATTCTAGAATAGGCCAGTCACCGAATTTTTATTAAAACAAGACATGTCTCCGTATGTCTCCCTCTCTTCAACTCATTTACACGCACGAAAATAAAACGTACATATATTACGAACATAGGCCAACCTACACTTAGAACACAAAATTGCTATAGGGCTTCATTATAAGGTAATAACCATGACTGACACTCAATACGCCAAAGAATAACTTATTTCTCATATACATTTTTAACTAAAATTTTTCTCTTATTTAAGCCCAATTTTCAAAAGTATTTAAGTCCATGGGTGGCGGTATTCACTTAACATCAAGTGAACCGCCTGCTCGCTTGACGACTTTTCACATAAAAAAAAAATAATCTTAATTTTTTTTCAAGGTTTGAGTGAATGTAAGTATAGAGCAAGGGTCAAAAAGACTTACTTGCACAGAAAATTTTAACATTTAAGTGTTCCATGATATTCAAAAACGTAAAACAAATAAAATTATGCTAAAAAAGTAATTCATTTTTTTTAAACGCATATATAAACGCGTATATAAAAATAAATAAAGTCAGCGCTATTTATTTTTATACTGAAATAAGAGGGTTATTTTTAAATCTACCCTCTTTCGAGATTGACGTCACAAACAACCCTCATTACTTGTAACTGCCCAGCCTGAACAAAATCTCTCGCCAAGTTTTTATATCAAATCCTTACGTTGTTCTGCATTAAAAAGAAAATGGTCTTGTCGGATATGATGAGATTACTTCTTTGATATTTTGGAAGTTCTTCTTTTATTGAAAACCTAAGTCTTTTGTAGCAATATACAGACAGACAGACTGTACGCTTCATTCAATTACGTTTCCATGGTTTACCAAAGAAATAACTCGCACAGGTTTTACATATCGTGCGTACAAAGAAATTATATTCACTGCGGCATGAAATTATATTCATTCCATTACTAAATCGAAGCAGCTTCAACGCCGAATGGTATACTACAAAATGCTTGCCAGAAGACACTGTGGTAGGTCCACGAGCAGCCTAGGCTGTTGCACGAATGGTCAGACTCGTCCGGGTAAGTACCACGACTTCCTGTAGACTTGCAGAGGTCGTCACTCTATTTAGATCTACTATCTTTGTCTAGGTCATCCTATATGACACTACGATCTAGTTTCTAGCTATTTATATCTTTTTAATTGAAATAGAGTGCATTTTCTACAAACAGTTATTTTTATTAAGTTTACGGATGCGCCTCAAGATTTTTAAATAAACTGTCAAGCACTTGCCGTCCTCTTTATTCCTCTTACTGCTTTAATTACACATTATTTAAATATCATTCGAACGAAACGTGTGAATGTGTTCTAACCATTTTTTCGGAAATGGGAAAAGTTTCTACCGGTGATTTTATATGCGTTGTAATTAGTCATGGGTTTTTTTGGTTTTTAATAATTTTTAGTTTGCGAAATCGATACGAATCGATTTGTGTTTGAAATCGAATTTTAAATTCGTTTTGATATAATATTGGACGCATGCTTAGTTAAAAAGATTTTAAATCTTACTGAATTCTTAGCCGCTATTCGATTCAGTTTTTGAGGCTCATAATAAATTCCGGCCCTAAACGTTATAGTAAATGGTTTTGCAATCATTCGTAGTCTTATATTTTTTTATATGAGAAGGTAGCTAGCGAGCTGGCGGTTCACCTGATGTTAAGTGATAACCACCGCCATGTGCAACACAAGTAGGTTCGCAGATGTGTTGCCAGCTTTTAATAAAGTGACCGAAACGTGTGCTTCTTTTAAAGCAAACACTTTCACACGCTGCTGTTAAATTTTATAATTTTTAATTTTAGTGCTAGTCCCTGCACATAAAATGGTAGTAAGTTTAAAAACCACCTTAATTTATCAGTTTAAGTTAAAGAATCAGTTTATGTTCAATTTATATTTATTAACGATTTGGGACCCATTTTAAGGTTACAAAGATCTTAATGATGTGAAATTGGGCATACTTCATTTAATGGGCTTGATGTTGAACAGTGTTTATGGTTTAGATCTTTGTATATTGTACACAATTTTATGTAATTGTAAATTTGATTGTGAACAAGTTTGATTGTATTTTTTTGCATAAAATATTGAAAAGAATAAACAATAATAATACTTTACCTTGTATATTCAATACTACAATTAATCATCCCACAATGTGTCGTGTCGTCCGTGTAAAACTCCCTTAATCTCAAGAATATTAAATGGTTATTTAAGTTTATTGTTTTATTAATTAAATTAGATTTAGTTACTTTCGTAACCAAGAAAGTCATGAATTTTTTAATTAGAATTTCATATATGCTTAAAAATAAAAAATAAAACAACCCACCAATATCGAGCTTTTCGAGGATCTTCAGCTTGGAATTATCCTGAATCCGCACAGATTTTGAAGTAATTCATGTTATTGTGCCTCAGAAATAGTCTGTGTCTAAAATTTACACTTTGCAAAATTTTGATTATATTCTGTAATAGATGAATCATGTAAGAGGTCAATCATCATTTTACACACCATACAGGTGTGTAAAATGATGATTGACCGTTTAAATAAAGTTAAAAATTTAATTTTTTTGTTACAAATTCCATTAAAAAAAATACCTTTCGAAAGATCTTTTCATTCTGATGAAAAATTGTTCGTAAACGTTTTTCTCTAAATCTGATAATTTGCCCGGAAAAAAATGTTTTATTTTTTTTGTATGGAATGAAACAGAAACTGCTAAAATTTGGCTAAGTCTTGTTAGGTCTTTGATTTAAAACTACTTTATGATTCTTCTTTGACTTGTTGGCTATAACTTCTAGGCTATCAGCTTGCACCCAAAGTTGCCGGTCCAAGAGTTATAAGAATCCGAAATTTCAAAAAAATATATTTTTATTCATTTTATAATATCGTGATATATTTTTATTCATTTTATAATATCGTGATATATTTTTATTCATTTTATAATAGCGTGATATATTTTTATTCATTTTATAATATCGTGGATTATCAAATATTTTGTCCCTTAAGTCCGTGTTACATCGAAATTTGTCACATTTTCTTCGTCCATTATCGGTTGGAAATTCAGTGTTCTTTTCCTTTTGATCGAATTTATTATATGACTGTGAAACACTTTCTTGTGATAACCCGTGTTTCATAAAAGCGAAGGAATGTAAATGCTTATTTTAAAAATCAAATTTATATAAATAAATAGTTTCATATAAACGAAGGAGTGCACGAGCTTACTTTAAATATAAAATCATAAAAAGTGTCCGTTTAATAAAATGTCGACCTCCATTTGTGTGTTAATGCGAATAACCGTGTTATTCCATTTGAGTATTTATAAGTTTATGTCCTTATTAAACGTCATATTGTCACGTAATTAATTGAAAGCACTTAATAAAATTACGCGAATCAATTGAATTATTGTTCGCTTTAACGATGTGAACGCTATAGAAGCAACAGTAGTCCTCGATGCGTACAAGGGAAAGTTTGATTCAGCGTTACAATTTAAAACATAATGAATTTGAAAAGATCGGAAAATACAAATATTTACTGCCGAAGATATAACTGTCCCGATTTTATCTTGAAAAATTATGTTCAATCTAATATTCAGAGAGTTCTATTCCCCTTAACCCTATTACAATATTTAATACTACAGCCGAAGTATTCTATTCGTTTTAATTTTATCATCACAAATAGCTTCGTAACTAATATTACAATATTTTGCTGTATAACTGTGATTATGATCTTCTTTTTTTATAGTACCATTGTATTCTACAAGCAAACATCAAACAACTATAATTTTTTTCTGCATTTTACTTACTTGTTTCAAATGTTTTTATCCAGTGTTGGATATATTATGAGTACTATAGTTAACTTCTTACATAGTGAAATTAATGTTGATTTGATACTTAATGTTCAAATAATACAAAACTGTCTTAAGTTTGTTCGATATGATGACCGTAAAATCCTTATTGGAAATTGGACAACTGTAGTGTTGATTGTTTTATATTATTTGCTGTATATGTTTATACAAGTTACGAATAATTTTAGCAGCTACGAAGTTATTGTGATGTCAGCCATTGTTGTCTTGCCTTCAGATTTAAATATTATCTATGCATTTAGAATCATATCGTTATTCAGAACAAGTATTACTTCCTGGATATCTGAATTGAAATTGGTGTCCAATTATGATGCGAGAACTTTTAAAGAAGATCATTTGACATTTGCAATATCGTTGCGCTGGACAGAATTATTAAATGCTTATTATTCAATTATGGATTCATATTATTTATGTGAAAAAATTGTAGCACCTCCAGTAAGATGGAAACCTTTTTAACATTTTCAAAATTTTCCCATATCATGTGTTGTAAAGCTTCATTGTAATGTTAACATCTTTGGTTTTACAGAAGATAATTTTTGGAAAAATATCCAGGATGCTAAAAATCTCCTATACAATCATTATTTTTTTACAGATTGTTCACTACGTATTTACTACCTTTATATTGTTCATTATCAACATTCAATTCATAATTCAGGTAATTCATATTTCAATTATTGCAATTCATGTGTATAGAAATGCTCTCAGACTATTATGTTTTAGTTTAATAGTGTTGATGGGATATTGATACTGGCATTTATGTGGACAGTAAAGAATACATTTTTACTGACATTAACAAGTATGGCCTGTGAAGATATGCACATTTCATTAAAAAATGTTCAAGTCGCGTGCATAATGGCCCTGCATAATGGGAGCAATCCAGGTGAGTCAACTTTTGCTGTATACGGTTACAAGAACATTTAGTATTTAGTTTTTTTTGTAGAGGATTATCTACTTTGAAGTTTAGGCTATTACTCTTAGATGATACTCCTTATATGTATGTATACATTAGAATGCAGGCCGATTTAAAGTTAAGTGGCGATTTAAAGTCAACCACCTGATGGTAAAAACTATGTAAATATACGAGTACAAACATATTGAGACTGAAGGAGTTGAAAAAGAAAATCATTAATCGTCTTCTTATTTTGGTAGTTTCTATTTAAAATGATTAGTATCTCTTTGCTTGCATATTGCATACGTCCTTCGTATTTAGATAAATAATAATATTGATAAAATATTGAATTTTTGTCAACCTGAACTGTTTAAGGTGTTAAGTTAATAAAGTACTCTAGACTTAATTATAATTTTTAAGTAATTGATGGCTTCCAGCCTGAAAAAAATACAGCTTGTTCAACAGATCATAATACTCTAATGGCAAGACTCTAAGTCAGCTTTGCGTTTAATCTCAATTTTATCTTCCCTAACAGAATTCCTACATGAAGCGAGTAAACAATTGCATCAAATGGGATGCCAGAAGTTCCAACCTCTAAACGCTTTAGGGTTGTTTACAGTGAACGCTGCTCTACTCCCGAACATGCTATCCGCTCTAGCCACTTACACCGTGATTCTGCTGCAACTCAATTTCTTGTAATACGCATAGCTATTATTAAAATAATAAAATTTTAAGGGTACATAATGTCAGTGTTTTTGTTATATCTAGTACAAGCTACCTCACCAAATATTATTCAAATCTATTCAGCGGGTTCAGATGCGGCTGAAGAAGGCACAAAGGCAGAAAATTTCAAACACACATAACACATACAATTGATAAGATTTTTATTATTGCCTGTTTCAACTAGAGACTAGTTCAACGAGAAACTAGAGACAACAAGATAATTTAAATTCAAATAACCTTACGTATACATTGCGGCATTCGTGGGCCAAAGATTAGAAGTTTGGGAGGAATAGACGGTTCGGTGACCATATAACTACAAGGTGTTCAAATGTAAATTATGTTTGATAACCACCATCGTAGGTGGTTTTAGTTGATTATGATTGGTGGTTTTAGTTATATCTCGTATTAAGTTGTAGACCAATTCGGACGACCACTCAGCGCTATCATTTTTCTAATCTATCAAATCTAATAGACATGGTCCTTTACTGCTGGCCGTATGAAGAAGCTCAAAGTTGCCCAGCGAGCTATGGAGCGGGCTATGCTCGGTAATTCTCTGTTTGATAGAGTTCGCAATTAAGAAATCCACAGTAGAACCAAGGTAACCGACATAGCTCAGAAAATTAGCTAGCTGAAGTGGCGATGGGCCGACCATATCGCTCGTTAATAACCGTTGGTGAAGAAAGGTTCTCGAGTGGCAGCCTTGTACTAGCCATCGCAGTGTAGGACGACCTCCACTAGATGGAGTAACGACCTGTGCAAATGTGTGGAAAGTCGACTGATGTGGGATGTGAGGTGGCTCAGGATCGTACTTCGTGGCAGTCTATGGGGAGGCCTATGTTCAGCAATGAACTCAAACAGGCTAAAATAATGATGACCAGACCAAATAATGCTGATCAAATCTAATTACTGATTATGAATATTCACTCTTTACCTATTACGCCGGAAACTTTCTTGAAAATCTTAGCAAAATGAAACCAGTAATTAAAAAACAAGTGTTATAAATTAGAAAAAAAAAATACAATATAATACAAATTATAATGCTAACTTAACAAAAGGAAATTATTTTTCTGTCAAAATAAGGTTTTAATCAAGGTTGTTGTTAAATTTATTGTTTTTATGTAATCTCACATAGAATAGATTTTTTTTGTTTCAAGCTTCTATATTTTTGATTTGCACAGGAATGTGATTTTTAAATGATTTTTTGTGAATAAGATATTTTTAAGTATAAAAAAGAGCAAATATAGTTGGCCCTCTTCCAATCCTTCCATAGTACACGTGAACAGTTACAGCTTTAATTGTATTCTGTGTGAAAGTGTTTGGGTAGTAAGTCCCAACGATCATTGCGATCTACAAGATCTATTGTAATGTTCCCTTCGAAAAAGTTGCCCTCTTTCTGTAGGATTAAGTTATCCTGTGTTGATAGGACGTAATACATACATACATTTGAGGACAGACACGTGGAAAGACCACCAGATCCGTGTGGGTGACACAAATATTTATCTCGAATGGGAATCGAAGCGCCTTTCCAGGCGCGGATGTCTATACCTTGGCAACTGCACCACAGAATTATCAATGGTTACACCTTGCCAACAAACTTTAGACGGCGCAAAAACTAAGAAGTAGTACTGCTGAAGGTCTCTTGGGAATTCTCATCAACTAATTATCCCAAAAACGTCATTAAAAATTACATGCGTGCGCCTTTTTTATGTGAAAAGTTGCCAAGCGAGCAGACGGTTCACCTGATGTTAAAGCAATACCGCCGCCCATGGACATATGCTATACCTGAGGGTTCCAGTAGCAATGACAACCTTTTGAAAAATCGGAGAGCCTGAGAAGAGCATATTCCCATGAGATATATTTATGTTGCTGCCGCCTGCTGTGGGGCGACGTTTCGATGACTGACGTCCAATATATAATGCTCAAAGAATAGACATGGTTACAGGATTATTTCACTTATTTTCGCAGCGATGGCTGATGCAATAAGGACAAGTTTTATTAACATGAGAGGATGTGTAGTTGTCACCGGTAGGTGTTTACATCTATCGATGCTACGTACAGAAATCGAATAGTTTTAACGTATTTGTATTAAAGTCGCCCTCGTTTACCATATATGATGACGTATTCGTTTATTTCATTACAATAATGTCGGAGCAAATATTGGTTTTGATTCCGTGTTACCCGCACCTGTACCTGTCCGAATCCTTATGTATAGATAGGACAGGATATATAATAGGTTGGGGAAAAAGTTTCTTCGCATTTTATATGAAAATTCAAAACATTTTTTAATAAAGTATATTTACATTTAACTAAAGTATGTAGGTGCAATTTGGTTCGGTACCTTTCTGCCATCTTGTAGGTAGGGACATGATCCCATTGCTATAGGAATTCTGGGGCTTCTGATCAAAAAACCGCGACAAGTGGTTTTGGCAGTCCTCTCGTAATTTTAACCTGACGCTCCCTAATTCTGAAGAGATCGAAACAAGTAGAAATCTGAAAGTGGAAGGCTATGACTATACGGTGGATCCATTAGCACCTCCCAAACTCTCTTAATTTTTGTTGAGTGGCTAAAAATGTGTCACGTCTAGCGTTATCATAATGAAAAACCACACCCCTTCTGTTGATTAATTTCGGCTGTTTTCTCACAACTTCTTGCTTTAATCTCATCAATTTTTCGCAATAGAGTTCAGAATCAATGGTCCTGCCTGGCGGTGACAGCTCATAATGAATAATGCCCTTCCAATCCCACCATACACACAGCATTACCTTGAAGAATCACAAATGAGTACACGGTTAATTAGGTTTCTTTCAATGAGCTCACGAGGCACCCAAATATCGAGCTTTTTTGTGTACCCAGCCATGCGCCAAAACTGTTTTGTGGTCAATTCCCAGTTTTTCAGCAATATCGTAACTACTAATATGCAGATCTTGCTCCAATTATTCAAAAATGGCATCCATTTTATCCGTGACGGGCCCAGAGCGAGGTGCATCTTTGGCATTAAAATTTCCGGATTGAAAACGCTTAAACCAAGTTTGTGCTACTCTCACAAACACTGCACTAGGTCCATAAACATCACAAATTTTTTTCGCAACTTGCGTTGCATTTTTTACGTTTTATAGTAAAATTTTAAAATGTATCGAATTTTTTCATTAGAATCATTCATCTTAACAGTAAGAAAAACAATTGCAAATCACAAATTTTCCTAATTTGAATTTCGATACCTTAATTGGCAAACCAGCTAACTCCACCTTTGGTCAAAAATATTTTTTGGCTTTGTTTGTACGCAATAATAATTCCGCTTGATTTGCAAAAACAATAACTCCGATATAATCACTATTTCCTTCTATAAATCGCTATTCGCAAATCAGCCAACTCCACATGTCACGGAACATTACAATTTTAACAGCCAACTCCACCAATTGGACTATTTCGTATGGCGTCCGAGTCATGTTCGGTTACCGCCTTACGTTATTTCGAAAAAAAATTATATAAACACGTCAAAAGGAAAGTTATTGTTGAAAAACAATTAAACATTAATACACAGTATGGATACTTATTTTATTTCTTACAAAACATTGCTAGGTAATTGAGGAATTATAAAATTTTATATTGGCTTTGAGTTGGCCGGCTTGCTTCTTACTTTATTACGCTACGGTTGGATGTTATACATTTTAAAGTTTATTAAAAATTTAAATTAAATTTGATGATACCAATAAACCTGACTCTTTTCTGGTTCTTAATAACAAATTTTCAAAACCCTACGACGCTTTGGTTGGGCATGATAGCGTAGCTTCTAATTCATCGAATTTATTTGTGCAAGTGTGCGGGAAGTTGATGGATGCAGGTGGCTCAGGATCTTACTTCGTGGCAGTCTATGGGGGAGGTCTTTGTTCAGCAGTGGACTCAAACAGGCTGAAATGATGATGATGATGATTTGATAACAATATCTATTGTATTAGAAATGAACTGTCTGCCATGGAGTGTTCGCAAACATATGAAATTGTTGTTAATGAAGACATATTTCCGTTTGATAAAGAACAATTCAGTCCTAGTTTGCTATCTGGTCACCTTACACCATCACTTAAATACAATCTTGAAAATGCCTCTAAGTTTAAGCCAGCTCACCTCTCTACAAGTAATGATAAATCGGATAGCGATTAGGCCGTTCCTTTGATACAGAAACTACTAAAAAATCATGAAACTAGACTACCGTAAGTAAAAGGGAAATAGTGTTATCCAATGTCGTAATATTTCTGAAGATGACGGAAAAATATTATTTGATAATTTTTTAAATATGACGGCATAAAACACGAATTTACGTTGATAGTTTAATAAAAATTTTAGGTACAATTAGGCAAAGAGATAGGAAAGACCTTTAAAAATGTAAAAAAGTAAATGCTTTTATATACCATACTTCAAAACGTGTGCATTTATGATATGAAAACTAGAGATGGGTGTTCCTTTCTATGGAATGAAGACAAAGGCTGAGTTCTGATTAGCTTGCAAAGATTTTAACCAATTTCTTAGTTGATAAAGTAATTCTAGCAATAGAATTACTATTAATAAGAAGATGACAACAGATATTAAAAAATTTAATTAAATTTGATGATACCAATAAACCTGACTCTTTTCTGGTTGTTAATACCAATTTTTAAAACCCTACGACGCTTTGTACGTGTACAACACACTTGAAAAGAAAAAGGAAGTTTTTATTTAAAATAAATCTATCAAGAAAACCAGCTAACTCCCAGATCACATACTTTTGCACGAAAGAAAATACGGATAACTCCTAAAAAAACGCTGTAATATGGTAATGAAAATGTATAATGGATTTTATAATATCAAAAATGACAATTTACGATATCTACCAACTGTATTTTAGATTTTCTCATAAGTAGTCTAAAAAATATTATACAGTTTTAAGTGCCTCCTGTAAAACTTGCCCATATGGAGTTAGCTTGTTTGCCAATTAACG